TTTTAGTTTCAAATGTCGATATGTATTTATCGCCATTTTATTGTTCATATTTTTGGTCTTTGTTTTCTTTAGAATGGCTATTTAAAAAAAGAAAAATAACAAATGCTGGTGAGGATGTGGAGGAATTGGAACCCTCATACATTGCTGGTGGGAATGTGAAATAATACAGCCCTTTGGGAACACAGTTGGGCAGTTCCTCAGAAAGTTAACTATAGATTTACCATATGATGCAGACATTCGGCTCCTAGGTATATCATGTCCCCAAAATGAAAATAGGCGTTCAAATAAAAACTTACACATGACTTTTTATAGCAGCATTATTTGCAGTTGTCAAAAAGTGGAGAGAACTTAAATATAAATCAGCTCATGAATAGATAAACAAAATGTGACATATACATACAATGGACTACTATTTAGTCATAAAAACGTAGTAGTGACACATGCTATGACATGGATATACCCGAAAACTTTATGCTAAGTGAAAATAGCCAGTTACAAAAGCCACATATGATATGATTCCTTTCATCTGAAAAATCCAGATTAGACAAATCCATAGAGCCAGAAAGTACAGTAGTGGTCGCCAGGGGATAGAAGGAGTGAGGGAATTGGGAGTGACTGCTAGCAGATATAGGTTTTCTTTTCAGGGTGATGGAAATGTTCTGGAATTAGTGGTAATGACTCAAAACACTGTGAATATACTAAAACAGACTAAATTTTATACTTTAAAATGGTAGATTTTACATTATGTAAATTTTATCTCAACTGAAAAAGCTATCCTGACAAAAAAAGCCATCAATGTAATTCATCATAACAACAGACTAAAAGAGAAAAAACCATAATATTAATAGATACAGGAAATTTTTTGACAAAATACAACATCCTTTCATTGTGTTTAATTCTCAGCAAACTAGGAACTAAAGGGAACATCTTCAACCTGTGAAAGAGCATTTATTTAAAAAAATATATATAGCTAGTATATTTAAAAGTAAAAGAGAACATTTATCTCTTAAAATTGGAAAAAAGGCAAGAATATCCACTTTCACTAGTTTTATTCAACTTCATACTGTAAGATGTAGCAGGTGCAGTAGGCAAGAAAAAGGCGGGGGGTGGGGCAGAAAGCATACAGAGTGGAAAGAAAAAAATAAGATTGTCTCTATTTGCAGAGACAGGATTATTTGCATGGAAAATCCCAAAGAATCGACAAAAAACCAATGATAACTAATAAGTTATTTCAGTAAGTTCTCAAGCTACATGATCAATATATAAAAATCAGTTGTATTTCTATACTAGCAATAAACATTTGGAAATTGAAGTTTTAAAAAGTGCCATTTACAATAGCACCAAAGACTATGAAATATTTAGGTGTAACTCTAACAAAATGTGTGCACTATCTGTATGCTGTAAGCTACCAACACTAACGAGAGAAATCAAGACCTAAGTAAATAGAGAAATACACTGTGTTCACGGGCGAGGAGACTCAATACTGTTAAGATATCAATTCTCTCCAAGTTGATCTATAGATTCAACACGGTCCCAAACAAAATCCCAGGGCTTTATTTTGTATAATTACCAAACTAATTCTAAGATTTATATGAAAAATCATAGAAAACGGAATTTCTAAAACAGTTTTGTAAAAGAACTTTGTGGAGGGTTCATATGCCATCTGATTTCCAGACAATATAAAATTACAATGATCAGGAGAGTGTGACATTGGCAAAAGGAGAGATCACGAAGAGCAGTGGAACAGAATAAGCCTGAAATAGACTGACACATATATAGTCAATTGATTTTCTTTTTAAAAATTTATTTTTCAATAACAATCGACACACAATGTTATATTAGTTTTAGGTGTAGGACATAGTGATCAGACGTATACCTAACAATGTGATCACGCCGATAAGGCTAGTACCCATCTGACAACATACATAGTTATTACAATATTATTGATTGTATGTCCGTGACTATTTTTATAGCTGACCATTTGTACTTCTTAATCCCTTTGACCGTTTCCACCCCCGCACCTCCCTCCCACTCGGCAATCACCAATTTGTTCTCTGTATCTATGCGTTTGTTTTTGTTTTGTTTGTTCATTTATTTTGTTTCTTAGATTGAAATCATGTTATTTGTCTTTCTCTGTCTGACTTATTTCACTTAGAGTAATATGCTCCAGGACCCTCCTTGTTGCTGCAAATAGTAAGATTAGATTCTTTTTCTATGGCTGAGTAATATTCCATTGTATATGGGCACCACTTCTTTATCCATTTGTCTATAGGGGACACTTAGGTTGCTTCCATATCTTGGTTATTATAAATAATGCTACAATAAATGTGGACGTGAATATATCTTTTTCTTTTTTTGTGTGTGTTTATTTTTGTTTAAAATATTACAGATGTCCCTTTTTCTCCCCAATGACCCGCTCCACCCCGTCCCTTCCCCCTCCCCAGTCCCTCTCCCCCATTGTCCCTGT